TTTTATCTATCAAGATATTCATCTAATGAACCTTTTACAAAATAAACAGTAAAATTTAATCAAATATATTTTTTAAATATCATTTTTAAATTAAAAAATAATGAAAGTATAATAATTATTTTTAAAGTTTATAAATTAAATTTTTTAAAATTTAAAAAACAAATTAAATTCTTTTTTATATAAAATATCTTTATTCATTTGTTTATTTGCTTAAAATTTGGTTTTATATTACAAAAATGTCTTTGTAATTAGTTAATTGGAACTTAATTTAAAATAAGTGTTAAGAATTTAATAAATTACATGAACATTTTTCTAATTCAAAGACTGAGTATCTATCAGGTCCTATTTTATTTTCTATTATATAGTTATCATAAAGCTATACCACTAGTGGTTCTTTTAATTTCTACATAATACTAATTTCATTTTTGATTTATTATTCATCTTCTATTTTTTGTATTTTTAACACTATTTCTTTTTTATCAAGTTTAGCTTTTTTAGTAGCTAATACCATTCCAAAGCTTCCAAAGCTTAGAATTTGAAAATTATTCGTATATTTTTTATTTTCATAGAGACTTTTCAGCAGATTAGATAACACTTCCACTTTTGTAAATTGTGCTTGAAAATCTTTTTCTATAATTTTGTTATTGGTATTCTCTAGAATAAACTTAGCATACTCGTCGAATTAATTATGCTTTAAATTAATTATTATATAATTTACATTTAATTTATAACTTTTTATAAAAATTTTAGCTAAAAATGATTACCATTTGTTTTTACAATTGATTAATTTTTTCAAATATTTACTGTGCCTATCTAGGTATTTATTCCTTTTATTATATTATAAATAAAATTATTTATCGAATTCGAATATAAAAATAAAATCAATTTTTTTTATTTTGAGAGATTAATGTAATAAAAAAAATTAATTATTAAATAAAATTTCTTTTTAAATTAAATAGTGAGGAAAACAACAATTTTCATCAACAATAAAAAGAAATAATAAGTTTATTATATCATTTTCATAAATTTTATTTGATAATTTAAAAATGATGTGTTTTTCATTTAAAAGTAAAAATTTTTGATGCAGATAAGCTTATTTTATTATGCTCTTAACATTATTTTTATGCTATCAAATTTGTTAGGAAAATATATTTTTTAAATTCTTTTTAATGGTTTTTTTAAGAGTTTCAATAAAATTTAAATATTTTTAGGAAAAATTTAAAATTAATTTTTTAAATAAGCTTAAATTTTGAGTAAATTAATTATATAGTAATATATTACCTCTAGTATCATAGAAGTCAATACAAATTTCAATGGTTAACCATGCATTTAGATGAGCTTGGATAGTAATTCTCCTGCTGTAGTCCTGTCTAAATACCAAGGTTTTAAGCATATTTTAGCTATTTTGTAAATATTAGAATTCTAATCGATCTAATATTTTTCCTTTGGTATTTCTTCTCCGTTGAACAGATAATTTTTTGTTTTGAAATCTATCCAATTCTCATTTAGAGTCTTGAGATTGTCAAGCTCTAATAAAACGAGTCCTAGTGAAAAGAGGTCTGACTATTTAATATAAATAAACTTCAAAAAATAATATAACATTATCATTAAAAACCTGAATTCTAGATTATCCTACTTCCACTTCTGGAGCAAAATATGCATCAGTTCCTTTCTAAAAATTATAAAAAAATATTGAAAACAATTAGAATAATAATTAATTTTTTAACCTTAGACATGAAGCTTTTTGATTTAGACACAGCTGATGCAAAGCCAAGATCACCTGAATTTAAAATTATTTATTAAAAATTAAATAATATAAAAATAATTATATACAAAGTTTGATTGAGAAACCATATTCCTTAGAAGTACAAACAAGGAAATTTTAAGGTTTAATATCCCTGTGCATAATATTTTTGACATGAAGGTTGTTAAGCCCTTCTATCATTTGAATGGCTATTATTTCCTTCATCTCTTTCGAAGGTGGAACTTGTTATTTTCTGAGGAAATCAAAGAGCTATTTGAGATTATCTAGTTAATTATAAAATTAAATTAATTGTGATTAGTATGTTAAAATTAAAATTAAGTTTGTTTTTAACTTATTAAAAAAATTTTTTATTACTTTTATGTGCAAATATTTTTTATTTTTTAAAAACTTAGAAAAAAAAATAAAAATTTTGAAATTAAATTTCTTAATTTGTTAATGAAAGAGTTTAATTAAATAATTTATTAAGAATATCATTTTTTAAACCTATTTTATAAAAAGTAAAATATTATTTTTTAATATTTTTGGATTTATATAAATTTATTTAGCTAATAGAAATTATTTAATTCAACAGATTTAATTAAGTTTAAAATTAAATTAGTTCAAATAGATTTATTATAAAATTAAATTATATAATTTTAACTTCATGATTGAAATTTAAATGTTAACTGATAATAATTTTTATTGAAATAATTAAAATTTTTTTAGTTATAAAGATTTTTTTTGTTTTAAAATTTTATTTTTTTGAATTTAAGATAAGTAATAAAATTTTGGATGGATAGTTAATATTAATTAATTTTTTAGTTAATAACTAATTCATATTTTTAATTTAAATTAAATATAGCAAAATGCCATTCAAAAATCAGTATTCTGGAAACGACTAGATAAATGAATGTCATTTATTTAATTAGCTTCTTAGCTGAGTTAAGCAAAGCTAAACAATTACTTATTTATAAATAAATGTATATAATGTCATTCATTTATCTAGTCGTTTCCAAACAACTAGATTTTTTAATAGTATTTTGCTATAACTTTTTTAATTAATTATCTAAAATGTAAAAAATAAAACAAATATTTATAAAAAATTTTTAATAAAAAATTAAATTATTATATTGGGAAAATAGATTATAAAATTTTGATAGATTAATCTTCTAGAAGATTTAATTAAGAAATTTTGAAAAATTTAATCAAAATAAATGAAAAATTCTTAATTATGGGGAATCCTAAAAGATTAATTAAAATTAACATTTTTATATTAAATTAAATAATTTCTATTACATTTTCTAAATTAATTAAATCTGCTTAGCGCAAATCTATTATTTTTTAATTAAACTATCAAAACCAAAAAAAGACTTAGAAAAAAAAATATAATTACCTATTTTTAAAATGGTGATGCGTAAGCCATGCCAGGTCAATAAAAAGTATAAATGTATCTTATTTTATGTATTTTCAGACGTTTTTAAAAAAATGAAATATAAAAAAAAATGGATGAAAAATATGTGATTTTTTTTACTCTCGCAAAGCTCCATTTCCATTACAAAGAAGGATTTTACTTCAGTTTAAACGATAATATCGTTTCCATCAGCATCTTCATCTTCTTTTTCTTCCATTAAATAGAAGCAATCATATACATTTACTAAAAATTCTGATTGGCTAAACTTTTGAAGCATTTCATACTCCTTTTTCAAAGATTCAATTCCATTCTTGTCCTCTTGGTTTGAGCTCCCTATGAATTTGAGAGCTACTTGGCGATTCTGTTAAGAATTCTAAGCCTTTAAGAGAAGAGCATAAGCGCCACTGCTTAAGTACTCAAAATTTTTGAAGTATTTTTTCTAGCTGAACATCAACTTGACTAATTCCTTTATTGCTGATCTTTGAATTTAGCATTCTTTGGATACTTTGATTGAGATAGTTTCGATTAATTCGTTTTGAACTTTCTTAGACATTTTGCTATTCACTTTCGCTATGCGACTGGGGTTGTTAACTGGGGTACTGACTTACTTAAAGTAGGCTGAGGGGTTTGCTTTTTTACTAAAAACAGAGGTTTTTATAGAGATGTAAAATTTATATATATCAAAACCACTTTGTTTCTTCTATATAAAGAGGAGAATCAGCTTAATAATAAAAGAAATTAGAGCAAAACTGCCTATCAATAGAAATTGGCTAAAAATCAAGAAGATATCTTAATTAATTTTCAAATATACTAATAACTTTCTATTTTTAGATTATTATTATTAACAGATAAGATAGCAACATATATAAATAGCATCTTTTTAAATTTATAATATATTTTATAAATTATTTAAAATAATCATTTTTTTATGTGAAAGTATATTAACATAGTATTGTATTATATAAAATTTATCTCTAAATAATTACAATAATATGAATGATAAATAAATATGTAAATAGATATATATAAATATACTACTTAGTGGGTTTTAAAATAAATTAACTTTAAATGTATGTATTTACTATTGTAAAATCTTTTAAATTTTAATATTTATAAATTTTTTTAAAGCTTTTATGAAATATAATATATTACATATAAAACATACTTGAAAATCAAGTATAAGTAAAAGATATTAGCTACTTATTTTTTACTTGTTGTCAAATGACAATATTGTTTAGCTATTGCTTATTATTTATTAAATATACTAACAACTTTTCTTTTTATTAGATAAAATATTGTAAAAGGAAAAATAGACTAAAAGTCCTATTAATTAATATTGTTATTAAATGAAAGGATTGTATAGTTTTTATCAAAATTTTTTGTTTTTTAGTTAATTTTATCTAATCAAAGATCCTATTCACTAATCTTAAAATATGCTTTTACAGTGATGCTTGTTAATACCATGTATTTATTGAAGCAATATTTTTCCTTAAATCTAAATATTTCTAGCATATTGACAGATTTTGTTATGAAAAAGTTATATTTGTGATTAAAACTTTTGTTCATTTTAACTATCTCCAAATTTTGACATGTTTTACTGTACATTTTTGTGATAGCAATTAAATATAGAGCGAAAGCAAAAAACAATAAAGATATTTAATGATATTTTGATTATTTTAAAAGATTATTCTTATCAGAATATCTTTTCAATTAACCAAAGTGCCTAATCACTGATCTACAAATATACTAACATCTTTTTTAATTAAAGCTAATTGATAATAATTCAAATCAATAATAATAATAATATTATAATCTATTTCATTTTTATAATAGAATTGTTATCTAATGCAAATTAAAATATTTTGTATAATAGCCTATACAAAAAAAATTATTTTTTAATATAAATAAATAATTCTACTTATTTTATTAACAGCGATAAATTAATTTTATTTTAAAAGCTAAAACTAATTTTTGATAAAATATTTATCTTTTATTTAATTTATAAAATAATTTAATATTTTTATTACTTTAAAAAGAATATAAGTACTTTTAAACTGGCAATTTAACTGTCAACTAAATATATTATATCCTAAATTATTTTTAGCGCCAGGTGTTAATTTATAAGGAATGATCATTTTGATTAATAGCAAAAAAATATAAAAGGCGAAAATCTCACAAGAAAAGGCTGAAAAGATGAAAATGAAATACCCAGCTTATTTTGCATAGACATAAGAAGCTCTATTTCAATAAAACAAATAAATTTTTTAAATATTTTAGAATAAAAATATATTTTAAATATTTATGCTAGTATTTTTTATATTTAAATTAGAAAGCGATTAATTATATTTCAGCCATTTTTTCTTCATTTATTCCAGCCATTTTGTAGCAATAAAATTTATAACATAATATTTTAATTACTCATTAGAATAAGTGTATTTTACAAAAATATAAAAATTTTTTTATATTAAATAGAATTTTTCTTAAAATATTTACTACTATTAATCTATTTGCTGACAATAAACGAATACCATATTGAATTTAATTCCTATTGATTTGGGTATATTATGAATAACTTTTTTTATTTACTTACTAAATTTACTTTGTATTTAATTATAAGAAAGATCTAAAATATGGCAAGCTTATTTAATTTAATTATAGGAAAAGCAATGAGTTTGACTGCTATTTGCAGATTTAAATTCATTACATAAACAATGAAGGTTTTAGTTAAAGTTAGTAGAATATTTAAGTTGAAATACAATCTATTTATTTCAAATCTTTATCATATTAATTAAGAAAAGGTAATAACTATAATCAAAAACTATTAAATGTCAGCAAAAAATATCTAGATTAAGTAAGCAAAATTCAATAGTCACCAAACAACAAACCTTAAAATGAACATATAGTAAAAAATTGAAGAAATAGCAAAAAAAACCTAGGGTTGCAGTATCGATAATAATAGAATCTTTATGTTCTTCTAAAATTTTAGAAAGTAGTAGAAACACTCACTACATTTCTCAAAAAAACAACTAGAATTAAAA